ATTGCCTGTGCGTTTTTTTATTTTTTTTGCGCTATAAACAAAAAATACTGGCAATTTTGAAAAAAACCCGATATTTTTGACTTTTTGTTATTAAACATGTCCCGTAAAAAAAATAAAAAAAATTTTTGTCAGAAATTTAGGGCAAAATGTATTTGTATCCCAATACCTGTAAATTAATTGGTTTATGTGAAAGTATAGGACTTACAAATGGCAGTATACATACTGGAATTTTTTAATTTTATTTTTTACTAGTAATGGTGGTGATCAGCGACTTATGGCGGGACTGCAGCGGGCATTCTGACACTGGGGGGAAGTGACTTGGTGTCACTGACATCCCCAGTGACACCAATACAGTGATCAGTCCTAATAAAATGCACTGACACTGTACTAATGGCACTGGGCAAGAAGGGGTTAACATGTGGGGAGATCAAAGGGTTAACTGTGTGCTGTTTTACTATGGGGGCTGTGTGTGTGTTTCACTGTAAGGATAGTGCTTTGTATGGCTATGCAGATCCAGTGGCTACTTAGCTGCTAGGATTGCTCTCACAAAAAAGATAATCACCAAACACAAAAAAAAGATAACAGTCTGATGCCTGCAGCTGCAGGATCATCCCGGTATAACTACTGCAACTCAAGGATGTATAGGTATGTCCTTGGGCAGGAAGGGGTTAAACACTTTTGTCTAGCAGGGACAACCATGGGCTAATCGAACTTTGGCCGGTACCTGCTGAACCAGTTGAACATTAATAAGTATATGGCCAGATTTACGTCTTTCATTACAAGGACATTGCAAGTGAAACGTTGTATTGTTGATATTGTACAAAAGCATCTTGTTCACTTTCTGCTAAATTGAACATATTCGTGTAGCTGGCAATATAAATGCTCCATAATCTTTACAGGTTATGAAAACATGTTGATTGACATTCCCCAGATCAGACTTTAGACTTAACATCAGATATGTTCAGTGTTATATAAATACATGGCCACACACAGCTAATGTGTAAGGAAAAGTCTATGGGCTTGGAAAAAATCTGTATGTAAATGGATAGAAAACTGGCTAAAAGATCATATTCAGAGAGTAGTGGTTAATGATTCATACTCTGAATGGTCTAGGGTTGTCAGTGGTGTACCCCAAGGTTCACTGTTGGGACCCTTACTTTTTAATATATTTATAAACGATATAGAGTCTGGGATTAAAGGTACAATTTCAGTCTTTGCAGATGACACCAAGCTGTGCAGTGGAATAACGTCCTTACAGGATGTCTCCAATTTACAAGCCGACCTCAATGCACTGTTTAATTGGCAACTATGTGGCAAATGTGGTTTAATGTTGATAAATGTAAAGTTATGCACTTGGGGGCTAAGAACATGCATGCATCATACATACTAGGGGGGTTACAATTGGGGAAATAAATGGTGGAGAAGGATCTGGGGGTTCTGGTAGATCACAAGCTTAATAATGGCATGCAATGCCAAGCTGAGGTTTCTAAAGCGAGAGATAGCGGGGAGAGAAGATCTGCTAGCTGTCACAAAAGGGACTGGAAGGGGGGAGCAGAGGAGAGTACATAAGCCATGGAAGGGGGGCATCTAGCAGAGCAGTCTTACATGGAGTATGGGAACATGAGGGGATGCTTGCACATACCAGTCTGGTGAGGGAGGTAGAGCTCCTTTTCCAGAATGGCACTAGTAGCCCTAGCAGTCAGTGTGCAGTTTTCAGGGTTCATTCTTACAACTAGAACTCGAGTCACACACTGGGCACCCCTGGCACATCAGTGCATGCCTCCTGATCTCCCCCCCAGACAATCGGAGTCCTCCACTGCTAAATAGCATTAACATGAAGGATTGCACCCTTGGCTTTTTCTGCACCTGCTGTGGTGACCAATCGGTAATCGGCTGGAGAGATGGGTAGACTGTGACTGAGTCAGTCGGTGAGGTCGGTACAGGAGAGTATAGAATTACAACTTTTTTTTTGTTGAACTGGATGGACTTTTGTCTTTTTTCAGCCAGAATAACTATGAAATTATGTAGGAGAATCCCAGACGCCCCAGCTAGAGAAGCGGCAGCCCAGGGGCCATGCCGATCCAGCAGCTCCAGCGCCTCTTCCTCCAGACTCATACGTGGTGCTGCAGGTCACTGGGGGAGAGGCAATTGAGGGCTATAGGGGCAGGGATTAGGGAGGGGGATTATCACAAAAAAGTGAGAATACTTTAAGTAGAGCGAGAGAGAGAAACAGACATGGCGGGAGCTTTGGTTGCCCTCACCCCTTTAAAACTGGACACCTATTAATTGCACAGGTTCTGAGGCTGATCTGATGCACCTAAGGCACTGAGTTTAATTACCATCTTAATCAGCCACATAACCTGTGTAATTTATATGTGCCCAGTTTTAAAGGTATGAGGTGGCAACTCACTGGTGCATTTGTCACTTACTGCTTCCTCTTTGGAATCCACCTGTCACTAGTTTTATTAGCTACCAGCCTGCCGCTGTGCTGTGGATAATGTGAATCCACATGAAGGGGAGTCTGTTCAGAGCTCGATAGGCTGGGTGGGGGGAGGGACTTTCTTGGTATGGAGAAGGAGGTGATGGTAGCACCCTCAGCTTGTTCTGGTGAATACAGCTCTTACTGTTAAACCTGCGATGACTATGTGGAGGAGGAGGTGGCGGGAGCAGGGGGATTCCCTAAGCTCGATTCGGCAATGACACCCAGGAGGGCAGAACTATGCTGGTGTGAAGGAGGGGGGGTGGGGGAGATGCCCCCTCCCGCTGCTTGTAAAAACGATCCAGCGGCTAGTTAGCTGCTCGGATTGCTTTTACCAGAGAACCAACCATTAGCTCAGTAAGTCCTGCTGCCTGCCAAAAAAAGTACTGCCCAGCAGTCGGAACTACATGTCCCGGGTGGCGGGCAGTAGGATTTGAACATACCTTACTATGGAATAGGAGGACATACCTGAACAATCCATTAAATTGGTATCAAATCAGACAGGCCCTTGTACTACATAGCTGATGAGAGATCTAAAGGAGATTGTAAAATCAGATTGTATAGAAAGTGGGTGGAAGGTAGTGTTGTAATGTGTTCACACCCTATCACACCCTCTTCTGCCATGCAACAAGTAAGTGAAGGTTTCTGGGAGATGAATGCTGAGAGATGATCTACAGGAAGTGATGGAATCGGAAATTTATTTCAGAAATTCAAATAAACTGACAAGATTTTAAACCTCCTAGGGTAGGGATAAGGTAAGTGAGAGAAAAGCACAGTGGGATGGCTGGGCCAAAAAAGTGAAATTCTGCCATAAAAAAGTGAATTTATCCTTTAACTGCTTCCCGGCCGTCCTATAGCAGAAATTCTTCTACAGAGCGGCACGGGTGCGTAAAATCACGTATATACAGTATCTCACAGAAGTGAGTAAACCCTATTGAGCATCTGTGGGGCATCCTCAAACAGCAGGTTGAGGAGTGCAAGGTCTCTAACATCCACCAGCTCCGTGATGTCGTCATGGAGGAGTGGAAGAGGACTCCAGTGGCAACCTGTGAAGCTCTGGTGAACTCCATGCCCAAGAGGGTTAAGGCAGTGCTGGAAAATGATGGTGACCACACAAAATATTGACACTTTGGGCCCAATTTGGACATTTTTACTTAGGGGTGTACTCACTTTTGTTGCCAGCAGTTTATACATTAATGGCTGTGTTTTGAGTTATTTTGAGGGGACTGTATACGTGATTTTGCATTTCTGGGTAGGGGACGCGCGCAAGCCGTGCCACAATTCGCGGCGGCAGCTGTCAATCACTGGCCCTGGCCAGTAATTACTCGTCTGCGCCCGGTGATTTCCGAGGATCTCCAATGGGGAGGAGGACTGTTTTGTTTACTAACAGTCCTCCTCCCTGTCAGCTCGGGCACACTGCTGTGGATAGCTGTGCACAGCAGTGTGATTACAGTGAATCGCACACATCACAGTAAAACACTCCCAGCACACAGGTAATCCTTTGATCGCCCCTCATGTTCACCCCTTCCTGCCCAGTGCCATTAGTACAGTGTCAGTGCTTTTTTTAGCACTGATCACTGTTTTAGTGTCACTGGGGATGTCAATGACACCAAGTCAGGTCCCACCAGTGTCAGAATGTCCACCGCAATCCTGCTATAAGTCGCTGCTCGCCGCCATTACTAGTAAAAATAAATTCCAGTATATATGCCACCATTTGTAAACGCTATAACTTTTACGTAAACCAATTTATTTACACGTATTAGGATTTTTTTTTAGCAGAATACATTTTGGCGGACATTTATGACGAAAGTTGATTTATAAATTTTTTTTTTTTACTGGACATGTTTAATAGCAAAAAGTAAAAAATATAGTTTTTTTTCTCAAAATTGTTGGCCTTTTTTTCTTAAAGCGCAAAAAATAAAAAACACACAGGCAATCAAATACCACTGAAAGAAATCTCAGGTCATGTGAAAAAAGGACGTAAATTTCATTTGGGTGCAGCGTTGCATGACCGTGCAATTGTCCGTTAAAGTAACTCAGCGCCATAACGCAAAAAATGGCCTGGTCAGAAAGGGGGGTAAATCCTCTGGAGGGCAAGTGGTTAAATTATCCTGTTGCTGTATATTGTAACACATAAATTGTATGTTATGTAACATGTCAGAAATTTTGGTGTGCAGGTAAGTTACTGATAGGTCCATTTAGAGATATTATACACAGGATACCCTACATTTTGCTGAAAAGGAGCTATTCTATCTTTTTTAAGCCCTGTACAGAATACATCATTTGATGGTAGCTGTTTATAGGGGCCTTTTTTAATATACAGACTACCAGTCATGTAAGGAGTGACAAGTCCTGGCACCCATGCTTGGATTTTGTCTTGGTATGATTTAACTATTGTTAGAAAATTGCATTAAGGAACGTTTAAGTTGAAGATCTTGATCTAATCTATTTTTTCCAGCAAGATGAATTAAACTAAACACTTTAAAAGTGGAATGTAATTTTTTTTATGTCTCCTGTGTAGGCCCTGGCCCATTTCCTGGCATCATAGATCTGTATGGAACAGGAGGAGGTCTCGTGGAACACAGAGCCAGCCTCTTAGCCAATCATGGCTTTGTGACAATGGCACTGGCGTTTTTTGATTATGATGACCTTCCTAGCCATCTAGGTGGGCTTAATCTGAACTACTTTCATGAAGCTTTGGAGTTTTTAAGACGACACCCAAAGGTATTTATGTACTTCTACATGATCTCTAAATAATACGCCTTGGTCTTGGAGGTTCTCCAGTGCACTACAAAATGTAGATGTGCATTTAAAATGAATGGCTGCTCTAATGCAATGCTGGTAAAAAAAAAAGTGTTCAAAAAGTAAATGGAAAGATGTGAATTGAGCATTAACCCCCATGAAAATTGGATATAGTTGTGCATTTGTCCTTGTTCAGATAACAGCCTAGTTTTGAGTCAGGCTGAGAAGTCGCTTGGGTCTTGTTACCCCAGGTACACTAGCCCCTATATTTATTATAGACAACATCTGCGATGAGGCGGTGATGCCAAATCCTGAGGTGACTAGTAATTGACCCTCCAAGTCAGGCACATTTACTTCCCACAAAGTATAGCCATACTGCTGGCTAAAGCGCTTAAAGAGGAACTTCACCCTCATTTTAAAAATAACAGCAAAGGAACCTTTAAAATTTGTAAGTAATGACAACCTACAAACAGATACCTGTAGATAATTGCAAACCTTTTATTTGTTGCATACCTTTTTTCTTGTGGTGCATCGAAATTAAAATTCTGGTACCGAAACTGAAAATTCAGGATGCACTTGGCCGTAAACCGAAATGGACAGTTTTTAAAAATGTGTATATTTTTCAAATGCAATTTTTTTGGAATTTAATGAATAAAAAAACCAAAACACAATATATACCCAAATTTTTATGTAAAATATGACAGATGATATGTCGTGTAAATTGATACCCAACATGTCATGCTTTAAAATTGTGCACGCTCATGGAATGGCGTCAAACTACGGTACTTAAAAATCTCCATGGGTGCTGCTTTAATAATTTCTACAGGTTACCAGTTTAAAATTAAAGAGGAGGTCTGGTGCGAGAATTATTGGTCTTGCTCTGACGTTCACAGCGATACCTCACATATGTGGGCATGGCCTACGTATGCGTTCACCACTGCACAAGAAGATGGGGGCACTTAAAACTTTTTTAAAATTATTTATTTTATTACTTTTCTTTTACACTGTCCCTTTTTATATTTTCTTTTATTCCTATCACAAGGAATGCAAACATCCCTTGTGATAGAAATAAGCAGTGATGGGTCGTCTTTATGGAGAGATATGAGGTCAATAAGACCCCGCATTTCTCCTCTACAATGTAAATTATTAGATAAAAAAAAAAACATTGATCTAGTGCATTTTTAAAAAAAAAATACAGCCTTGTTTACAAGGCGCCAGAACTGAAAGTGACGTAATGACGTCGCTCCGGTCCTCCAAGGGCATAGAGATAAGTGGAGGCCATCTTTCCGTAACATTTCAGACACAAATTTCAGTGCATCCCTTCTTTTTTATTTTCCTCTCCATACTTCTGCTGGCCATTTCCACTAAAGGCAGATGAATCTATCTCTTTCACTGCCTGGAAATCTAGGTCTCCATCCTGGAATATTTGACAGGGCACATCATTTAGCCTGGGTTCACACTGATATGGTGGAGCACATTGCATGTGATTCACATAGGAACCACACCACATTCCTGTGCAAATCACATGCAATTTCTGTGCGGTGCGATTTGAGCCATACATTTTGTATGGCTCAAATCGCACCACATCCACACCAAAGTAGTGCAGAACCCTTATTTTGTCCGCACCAGAATCGGATTGCATGGGTATTCACACCCATGCGATCTGATGAGGCACATCGCACCGCATTTTGCAAACCGATTTTGTGGCGTTGTTAACGTAACATACACATCCGCAGTGGTTCGCATGAACGGGGTGCGATTATGTTGCAGTGCGGAATTCACCCAGAGACCGGTGCAAATTCCACATAACATCAGTGTGAACCCAGGCTTAAGGGAGAATAGCCCTGGCTTCACAGAGGCATCCAGGGAAGGCTACATCACCAGTGCCTCACTTATCCAGAAAATAAAAAAACTATAATTGTAAATAAAACAAAAAATGTTTACCTATGTTTTCATATCAGCAAGCTGGGCCTGTAACTGTTGATGAACCAGGTTTACATTGTGAAAGAGAGATACCATGAATTGCTAGTTTTTATAGTTCATATTTTGTAGATTTTACAATCTGATTAGAATGTTAGGGTACAACAGAGAATACTGAAATGTCTTTAATGTTTTCTTAGGTTAACAAACAAGAAATTGGGATTATAGGTCTTTCTAAAGGTGCTGACCTAGCAATCACAATGGCAACATTCCTACCTGGAATCAAGGCAGTTGTCAGTATATCCGGCTGCAATGCCAACACTATGGCCCCATTACCTTGCGATGGCTTTGTGCTCCCATGCTTGGGGTTAAGTACTGAGAAGATTAAGCTTACAGAAACTGGTGAACTGGATATGTCTGAGTTTATGGATGACCCTATGGACCCGGCGTTTCACGAGTGCCTCATCCCAGCTGAAAGGTCCTCTGCTGCCTTCCTCCTCTTATCCGGTCTTGATGACAAGAACTGGCCCAGTTCATTATATAGTAAGCAGTTTGTTGCACATCTCAAAGAGCACAAGAAGGACGTTGAATCGTACTATTACCCTGGGGCTGGCCATCTGTTGGAGCCTCCATACTTTCCTCTGTGCAAAGCATCGAACCACAAACTATTGGGAATGCCTATGTTATGGGGAGGTCAGCTTAGAGCACATGCTAAAGCACAAGAAGATGCGTGGAAAAGGATCCTAACATTTTTCTCAAAGCAACTTAAAGCACACAGCCACCTGTAGATACCCTCTAGCAATAATGTCTCAAATATACAATTTGTATTATCATCAATAATTAAATTGGAGTTTCAAGTAATTTGCCATTTTGAATGTTCTTATTTGCGAGTCATCTGCTGTCTCCTGGGTGTGTCCAGTCATTTCTCAACAATTATAGCTGCCCAATGTATGCTGGAAGCTATTTTAAGTAGTTCTAAACACTAAAGGTTTTGTACCTTAATGCAGTCCTCCCTCGATTCAGCACTGTACCCATTTGCAGCCCCTCCTCTTCTTACAGGACACAGAGACAGCAGAGGGAGCCAGTGGCTCCTGGTGCTGTCAGTCAAATCCTGGGTGGGGCCTGGCTCAGCCTCGCTGTGTGTGCTTATGGATCAATACAGGAGTGCGCCTGCCCATGTGCCCCCATAGCACAACACTTGTTACGGGGGCAAGGAGTATACAGGTGAGGAGGAGTGCTCAGTGCTGGATAGGGACTTCAGAAGAAGTGGTAAAAGACCGTTCTGTGCAATATCGTTGCACAGAGTAGGTAAGTATAAACTTCTTTTTATTTTAGAAACAAAATTGCCTTTTAGTATCACTATAAGTTTATAATTTCATGTGTACGAGAGATTTTATGTGAAAGTGGAATTCCACCTATACACCTAACGAGTCTTTTAAACCTTTTCCTCCTCCTAACACCTATGCTAACTAACCTGTATAAGAAAGAAGTATACACTTACCTATTTTCAGGCCACTCTGGTCCAGTCACGTGATCCCCCCCCCCCCCCCCCCGTATCAGCTCCGACAATGGCTAGTAAAGCCTGGAGTGGTGATATCAGTCATAGGTTTCAATGACCCATCCATTGTTGGCACTCCTTCCTCTCCCCTGTAGCGGCGTTTGCTGACACAGGGGAGCCGAACAACATGACCGGACCAGAGCAACCTGAAAATAGGTAAATATATACATCTTTCTTACACAGGTTAGGTAGCATAGACGTTAGGAGGGGGGAGGGGACAGTTTTAGGGCTAGTTAAGTGAATAGCCGGAATTCCACTTTAAGTAAAAACAAATGTTTTATCTTAATAGGTAAAGTATATGTGAACCTTAAGTAATTTCTCCTATTTGCTTGTTTTTGACTGTTAAAAATATTATTGAAAGTGTTTCGTTACATCTGTTTGATAACTGCACAAAAAAATACCTGTTGATCCTGCCAGAAATCCAGTGCTGTCCTGTCCAGTTTGAATTGTTCACTAGCACAATGTTATTAGAAAGTGTGTTAAGCAGGCCATAGATGGAAGAATAATGAAAACAATAGAAATATGAGCGCTGGGTGATAGTAGACCAGTTAGGTACAAAACAGGTAGGAGCAGCCAGCATAGAAGGGGAAACAACCTCAGATCCTCCGAGAAATGCCAGAAATAAAGATACAAATGCGGCGCTCAATCATAGTTGCAGCATATGGAAGATATCTCACAGTGTTAAAACTTCATTAATATGATATATACAGATTAATGTGACTGTTGTGACACAATAAGCAGTGATAAACCTTCCGTGACTGTCGTGACCGTGGTGTTAAATGATATTAACAGCAACACCGCTTATTAGGTATAGATCATGCGGAGTGGCAAACAGCTGTTTGCTCTTCAGCAGTTGAAAGGACTCCAGGGAGAAGGGCCAGTCCGCACTTCTTCCCAGCAGCGGGTATGTTATACGAAACAGGCAGAGGTTGGCTGGTACTTGTATTGCTGGACACAGCTAACCTGAGATGTGGTAACCTGCTTTGGATAGATGACAGCTGGTGAAGTACCTCCGCCTGATGATCACATCCGCATGCTGAGTTCCCATCCCCAGAGTACCGAGGAGTAGGTCTTATTTACTCCAACGCACATTTATCTGTGCTATCTGGTTAGTGCATAGTACGCTCATTGCTTCCAGCCACAGCAGTCACGAAAGTTATCAGCTGTTCTTTGTGTCACCACAGTCACATCATTACATATGAACTATAACCTATAAGTTTTCGTTACCACAAGATATTTCAATTGGTGTATAGCATACTCATCGCTTCCAGTTTTAATAGTCACGTATTTTACCTTTCTGTTTACTGTATATCCACAAGTCATGCCACTCCGCATGATCTATACCTAATAAGCGGTGTTGCTGTTAATATCATTTAACACCACGGTCACGACAGTCACGGAAGGTTTATCACTGCTTATTGTGTCACAACAGTCACATTAATCTGTATATATCATATTAATGAAGTTTTAACACTGTGAGATATCTTCCATATGCTGCAACTATGATTGAGCGCCGCATTTGTATCTTTATTTCAGGCCATAGATGCTTCTTCTTTTTTTTTTCTCACTTCAGCAAGTCAAGGAGAATCCATCCCATGGAGCTATTGTTTTTTCCGATAGCTGGGAAAGTTCCCTGCCATCAGAATACAGTGATCAGTGCTGCCAGCTATAGCCAGTGGCACTGATCGAGTAAAAAAAAACCGGACAGGCTGGTTGTAGAGAAATTGATCAAGAGATTGAATTTCGTACATCCAGCCTGCCCATAGATTTATCAAAACTCGTCCAGTCTCTTTTGAACCAGCTGGATTTCGATCCATCTATGACTGGCTTTAGGACTACAAAATACCTCCCTCTCCCACGTTATGGAGAAAAGGAGAGGGGTAGGTGTTGTATAATCTTAACAAAAATATTCCTCTCTGGGTGATCTATGTACATTGCAAGGATTTTAAATAATGTTGTTGCAGATTCCTACTTTTTGGTATTCTGAAGAAATGGCTGTTTGTCTGTCCATGTGCAGAGTCAAACTGTATGGGAGTCATTTCATAATTCTCTCTCAGCAGCTGCACCTGCAGGGCTCTAATGAGGAAAGTGACAAGGTCTGCATCCCATTTTTGTTGCGGGAGATGCCCAAAATTGGACTTTTTACAGAAAATTACAGTGCTGTAGATTGAAGAGAAAAGGTAACTTTTAATAGCCAATTACTATATGACTTGTGTCACGGTTGTATAATATATATTGTGACAGTAGGCAGGTGAAATCACCTGGTTGCGTCCTGGATGGATGATATATTTGTCCGAGGTTCAGGCTTTATGGGGATTTGTAACACTAGAGGGAAGTGCTGAGTCCTTCAGCACTGAGGTAATGAGCCCAGCTGAAGGTAGTGGGCTCATTAACACCTGTATAAAACTTCCCAGAGTGCTTAGGGAGTTGCTCCAACCTGGAACCAGATCTGTGCCTGAACTGTCTGGGGAGCTGACCTGTTATCTGTGTGCAGAGAGACCAAAGCCTGTGTGGCTAGCCTCCAAGTACTAGCAACTAGGTATAGCAGCAGGCTGTACCTAGTGGGTAGCTAGGGAAAGCGGTTGTTGCAGTAAGTAGCCAAGTTGGCCAGGATTTATTTTGATGTTTCTTTTTGGTTTACCATTTTTCTGTAAATATTGTAAATAAATTGCACCTGTTTGTTTTCACCTCCACTGTTGTGCTGTGCCTGTCTTTTTGTGTTGTGCACCCATCCAGGGGGTCACACACACCCGCTGCCGAGCAAACCCTGTTACATATGGTGGAGGATGCGGGCAGTTGTGGTAACTAAAGGCCAGCATGGAGGAGATAATCAGACAGTTGGCTCTGGCAAATGCCAATCAACAACAGGCAAATGCCAATCAACAGAAGGCAAATGCAAGTTTCCAGCTGAGCATTGCAGCCCAGCAGAAGGCCTTGGAACAAGCAGAGGTCTGCCATAGGGAATTGCTGGTGCAACAGGACCAGAAACACCAGCAACAAATTGAGGCTGTTTTGAAGCAGCTCCAGCAGAGGCAGCTGACTGAGGCTGGTGATGATTCTGGTAAAACACCATTTTTTGTGGGCCGTTTATTGCCAAAAATGACTGGAGAGGATGATCCGGAGGTGTTTCTAACCACCTTTGAAAGGACTGCTGAAAGGGAAAAGTGGCCTAAAGAACAGTGGGCTGGATTGATGGCCCCATTATTAACTGGAGAGTCGCAAAAAGCTTACTATGACCTGGAGCCGGACCAGGCCAAAAACTATGATGTGCTAAAAGCGGAAATTTTGGCCCGATTGGGTGTTACCCTCGCTGTCCGTGCTCAGCGGGTACATAATTGGACTTTTCGGCTTGGGAACCCTCCCAGGTCACAGATGTATGATCTCATTCACCTGAGCAGGAAGTGGCTGCAGCCAGAGACTTTGACCGCCCCAAAAATTGTGGAACGTGTCGTCATGGATCGGTTCCTAAGGTCAATTCAAAAGTGGGTCAGCCATGGAGACCCAGAAACCGCAGACAAGCTGGTGGATCTAGTGGAGAGATACTTGGCTACTGAGAACCTGACCTCCTCTTCCAGAGACTCACAGACTTTCCACCCTAAGACCGGACCATCCCCAGCGGCGGGTAAGATGACTACAAGGGGTGAGGGTGGAGAGAGGGAGAGGGTGGGAGTATTACCCAATGTCTGGCAAGAGCGGCCAGGAAGGCCAAGGCTGCAAGAAGCGGTGAAAAAAAATTATTTGTTACCGCTGCCGGCAAGAGGGACATATTGCAGCTAATTGCCCAGTGGTGGATGAGCCTATGCAGTGTGACTTTCTGAGCAATAGACGTCAGTCGCTGTTTGCGACAGTGGTATGCACAGCCAGCCCGGGCACTGAGAAACATTTGTGCAAAATGACTGTTAATGGAAATAATATTGTGGGGTTGCTGGATTCAGGTAGCCTGGTAACCTTGATAAGAGAGGAGATGGTCACTACAAAGGTCTCTGGGCATAAAAAGGTGGCAGTGATTTGTGTGCATGGGGACACTAGGGAGTATCCCGTGGCTACTGTGTTTTTTGAGACCCCCAAAGGTAACCTGTCTCATCAGGTAGCATTGGTACCTCACTTACCACATGATGCCATTGTGGGGAGGGATTTTCCAAAATTCTGGGAACTCTGGGATTGTTCTGACCCCCCCCCCCCACTGTCTCCCCTGCAGACCAGAAAGGTGAATCCCAGAAAGCGTCTGAGTGTGGTGAGGTCTCTTCCAAGTTCCCCTTGTCGGTACTAGCTGGGGAGACCCAAGGAACTGGGGAGGAGCCCGCCTCCTCAGATGAAAATCTGCCGGTTGTGGAGTTCTCGACTTAGAGGTGCATAGGGAAAATTTTGCCACCGAACAGCTGAAAGACCCCACGCTGATAAAAGCCCGGGAAAATGTAGTAAAAGTAGATGGCCAACTAGTGAGTCCTGAGAAAACTGCTGCTTATCCATACTTCCTTGTGGAAAGGGACCTACTCTATCGAGTTGCTCAAGGGGCAGAAGAAACCATTGAGCAACTGGTGGTGCCCAGACCTTACAGGAAGTTGGTGTTGGAGTTGGCCCATGGACACATCCTTGGGGAAAGAGTACTGCAGCGGTTCTATTGGCCTGGGGTCATTAAGGAGGTAGAAAATTACTGTTCATCTTGCCCTGTGTGTCAGAAGTCGGCCCCTATGCCCCATTTCCGTAGTCCACTGGTACCTCTTCCCATCATTGAGGTCCCCTTTGAAAGGATTGCCATGGATTTGGTAGGTCCGCTGGTAAAATCCGCTAGGGGACATCAGTACATGTTGGTCATACTCGACTATGCCACCCGCTATCCAGAAGCAATTCCACTCCGAAATACCTCTGCCAAGACAATAGCTAAGGAGCTATTCCTCGTGTTCGCCCGAGTGGGTATTTCAAAGGAACTGCTTACGGATCAGGGAACCCCCTTTATGTCCCGGGTGATGAAAGAGCTGTGCAAACTGTTCAAGGTAAAACAGTTGCGCACCTCTGTTTACCATCCCCAAACTGACGGGTTGGTGGAAAGGTTCAACAAAACCCTGAAACAAATGCTAAGGAAGGTGGTAGATAAGGATGGAAAGGGTTGGGATTATTTAGTACCCTATTTGATGTTTGCCATCCGGGAGGTACCCCAGTCCTCCACAGGGTTTTCACCATTTGAGTTGCTCTATGGGAGACACCCAAGGGGGCTGTTAGATATCGCCAAGGAAACTTGGGAAAGTGAGAGTTCTCCCCACCGGAGTGTGATTGAGCACGTCGCCCAAGTGCAAGATAGAATTGCCCAGGTCATGCCTATCGTAAAGGAACATTTGGCCCAAGCACAGTTAGCGCAGCAGAGGGTGTACAATCTGGGGGCCCAGACCAGGTCGTTTGCTGAAGGAGATAGAGTGCTAGTGCTAATCCCTACGGTTGAAAGCAAATTCCTGGGCAGTCATGCTGTCTACAATTCAAAAACAGGAGGCTAAAGAGTTTGTGCTCCGCAACACAGATGTTTTTTCTGAGCTGCCGGGACAAACCTCGGGGGTGGAGCATGACATTATCACCCCACCGGGGGAAAGGGTAAAACTGAAACTGTCAGGGCTCCCAGGTATGACCAGAGGTGTGTGACTGATGCAGGGAAACGCAGACTTCAGATATGTGATAAACAATACAATTTATTAACACTAACCATACAAACATAAACGCAGTGCAATACTAAACATAATACAGTGCAAACAAACCAAACCAAACCACCCACAGATAACAGTACATACAAGCAAGCGTCGTCAGGCAGGCCGGGTCAATATCAATTGGGCAGGTAGGTACAGGGGGAGCAAGCAGAGAATGGTCGGGGTCACAGGCCAGGTTCAGCAGGTAGCAAGCAGCGTAGTACAGAGGGTCAGGCAGAGGGATGGTCAGGGTCACAAGCCAGAGATCAAAACAGGTAACAAGCAGCGTAGTACAGAGGGTCAGGCAGAGGGACAGAAACAGGATGCAGGACAGATACTGGGCCCAGGACAAACACAACACCAAGGCAGAGTCTGTGGGTCTGGCCATCCCTTAAATACCCCAGCATCATCAGTTCCAGGTGTTAGCTGGCTGAAAGGTTGAGTCTCTGATTGCTGGGAGCACCCGCTGGCCAGCCCTGGTACTGCAGATCAAAAGGCAGGTGAGTCCCACCATTGCTGGCCAGTCCATTCCTAACAGTACCCCCCCCCCAAGGAGCGGCCTCAGGACGCTCCAAACAGTCCTAGCTGGGCAAAATGTTCCACCGCCCGGGTCTGGTAACTGGCGGGATATCAAAGACTGGCCTACCGGGCAGGACTCCGGGCAGCGGCACACCGGGCTGGACTCCGGGCAGCGGCACACCGGGCTGGACTCCGGGCAGAGGCACACCGGGCAGAGGCACACACGGGCAGAGGCACTCCGGGCAGAGGCACACCGGGCAGGGGCAGGACTCCGGGCAGAGGCACATCGGGCAGGACTCCGGGCAGAGGCACATCGGGCAGGACTCCGGGCAGAGGCACATCGGGCAGGACTCCGGGCAGAGGCACATCGGGCAGGACTCCGGGCAGAGGCACATCGGATTACCAGGCAAAGCAGCAGGCAGCGGGCCACCGGGCGGAGCAGCAGGCACCGGGCCCCCGGGCGGAGCAGCAGGCACCGGGCCCCCGGGCGGAGCAGCAGGCAGGCACCGGGCCCCCGGGCGGGGCGACCGGGCCCCCGGGCCCCCGGGGGGCAGCAGGCACCGGGCCCCCGGGCGGGGCGGCACCGGGCCCCCGGGCGGGGCAGCAGGCACCGGGCCCCCGGGCGGAGCAGCAGGCACCGGGCCCCCGGGCGGGGCGTCAGGCATCGGGCCCCCGGGCGGAGCAGCAGGCACCGGGCCCCCGGGCGGGGCGACAGGCATCGGGCCCCCGGGCGGAGCAGCAGGCATCGGGCCCCCGGGCGGGGCAGCAGGCACCGGGCCCCCGGGCGGAGCAGCGGGCACCGGGCCCCCGGGCGGAGCAGCGGGCACCGGGCCCCCCGGGGGCGGGGCAGCGGGCACCGGGCCCCCGGGCGGGGCAGCGGGCACCGGGCCCCCGGGCGGGGCAGCAGGCAGGCACGGGGCCCCCGAGCGGGGCGACCGGCGTCGGGCCCCCTGGAGGGGCGACCGGCGTCGAGCCCCCAGGCGGGGCGGCGGGCGCCGGGCCCCCAGGAGGGGCGACAGGCATCGGGCCCCCAGGAGGGGCGACAGGCATCGGGCCCCCAGGCGGGGCGACAGGCATCGGGCCCCCAGGCGGGGCGACAGGCATCGTGCCCCCAGGCGGGGGCGACAGGCGCCGGACCCCCAGGCGGAGCGACAGGTCTCGGGCCCTCAGGCGGAGCGGCGGGCGCCGGACCCCCAGATGGAGCGACAGGTCTCGGGCCCTCAGGCGGAGCGGCGGGCGCCGGACCCCCAGATGGAGCGACAGGTCTCGGGCCCTCAGGCGGAGCGGCGGGCGCCGGACCCCCAGGCGGAGCGACAGGTCTCGGGCCCTCAGGCGGAGCGGCGGGCGCCGGACCCCCAGATGGAGCGACAGGTCTCGGGCCCTCAGGCGGAGCGGCGGGCGCCGGACCCCCAGGTGGAGCGACAGGTCTCGGGCCCTCAGGCGGAGCGGCGGGCGCCGGACCCCCAGGCGGAGCGACAGGTCTCGGGCCCTCAGGCGGAGCGGCGGGCGCCGGACCCCCAGGCGGAGCGACAGGTCTCGGGCCCTCAGGCGGAGCGGCGGGCGCCGGACCCCCAGGCGGAACGACAGGTCTCAGGCCCCCAGGCGGGGCGGCGGGGGCACCGAGTCACCAGGCACAGCCGTGGGCTCCGAGTCAACTGGGATGACCGCTGGCACTGGGTCAGACATTGGATCGTCTGGCTGGACAGCGGGCATCGGGTCACCAGGCATCAGGTCATTTGGCTCGACAGCGGGCACCGCGTCATCTGGCAAGGCAGTGGGCTCCGAGTCAACTGGTATGACCGCGGGCACTGGGTCAGACATTGGATCGTCTGGCTGGACACAGCGGGCACTGGGTCACCAGGCATCAGGTCATTTGGCTCGACAGCGGGCACCGCGTCATCTGGCAAGGCAGTGGGCTCCGAGTCAACAGGCACGACAGTGAGCACCGGGTCATCAGGTACCGGATTGTCTGGCTCGACAGCGGGCATCGGGTCACCAGGTATGACAGCGGGCACTGGGTCACCAGGCATCAGGTCATTTGGCTCGACAGCGGGCACCGGATCAGGTACCGGATCATCTGGATCAACAGCGGGGCATCGAGTCAACTGGCCTAATAGGATCGTCAGGCTGGATCAGTTCATCATGCTGGGTAGAGGCATCAGGCTGAATGCCGGCGTCCGGCTGAGTAGAGGCTTCAGGCCGAGTAGAGGCTTCAGGCCGAGTAGAGGCTTCAGGCCGAGTAGAGGCATCAGGGTCGAGTAGAGGCATCAGGCCGAGTAGAGGCATCAGGCCGAGTAGAGGCTTCAGGCCGAGTAGAGGCATCAGGCCGAGTAGAGGCTTCAGGCCGAGTAGAGGCTTCAGGCTGAAGAGAGGCATCAGGCTGCATACAGGCATCAGGCTGAAGAGAGGCATCAGGCTGCGTACCGGCATCAGGCTGAAGAGAGGCATCAGGCTGAGGCATCAGGCTGAGTAGAGGCATCAGGCTGAGTAGAGGCATCAGGCTGAGTAGAGGCATCAGGCTGAGTAGAGGCTTCAGGCTGAGTAGAGGCATCAGGCCGAGTAGAGGCTTCAGGCTGAAGAGAGGCATCAGGCTGCATCATCAGGCTGCATACAGGCATCAGGCTGAAGAGAGGCATCAGGCTGCGTACCGGCATCAGGCTGAAGAGAGGCATCAGGCTGAGTAGAGGCATCAGGCTGAGTAGTAGAGGCTTCAGGCCGAGTAGAGGCTTCAGGCCGAGTAGAGGCTTCAGGCCGAGTAGAGGCTTCAGGCCGAGTAGAGGCATCAGGCCGAGTAGAGGCATCAGGCCGAGTAGAGGCTTCAGGCCGAGTAGAGGCATCAGGCCGAGTAGAGGCTTCAGGCCGAGTAGAGGCTTCAGGCCGAGTAGAGGCTTCAGGCCGAGTAGAGGCTTCAGGCTGAAGAGAGGCATCAGGCTGCATACAGGCATCAGGCTGAAGAGAGGCATCAGGCCGAGTAGAGGCTTCAGGCCGAGTAGAGGCATCAGGCCGAGTAGAGGCATCAGGCCGAGTAGAGGCATCAGGCCGAGTAGAGGCATCAGGCCGAGTAGAGGCATTCAGGCCGAGTAGAGGCATCAGGTCGAGTAGAGGCTTCAGGCTGAAGAGAGGCATCAGGCTGCATACAGGCATCAGGCTGAAGAGAGGCATCAGGCTGCGTACCGGCATCAGGCTGAAGAGAGGCATCAGGCTGAGTAGAGGTATCAGGCTGAGTAGAGGCTTCAGGCTGAGTAGAGGCTTCAGGCTGAGTAGAGGCTTCAGGCTGAGTAGAGGCTTCAGGCTGAGTAGAGGCATCAGGCTGAGTAGAGGCATCAGGCTGAGTAGAGGCATCAGGCTGAGTAGAGGCATCAGGCTGAGTAGAGGCATCAGGCTGAGAGGCTTCAGGCTGAGTAGAGGCTTCAGGCTGAGTAGAGGCTTCAGGCTGAGTAGAGGCTTCAGGCTGAGTAGAGGCTTCAGGCTGGCTGAGTAGAGGCTTCAGGCTGAACCACGGAAGGCAGGCTCACCGGTTTGGATACTGGCAGGATGGTATTGGTTGGAAAGAATTTTCGCTTTTTTTTCTGGTTTTAACTACTGGAGCACTGCAAGTAAACGCAGGTCTGCAAACGAATGGAGCAGCTGGAGACAGAGAAGAACTGGAGGATGGAACAGGAGAGGGAGCAGTTGCTACAGAGGGCTCTTTTACAGGGTTAAAGGCAGGATAGGTGCAGCGAGTGGGAACAGGGTACTGACATGCGGTAGATAGCAGGGCAGGAGGAGCTGTTGGGAATGCAGGAATAGAGTTTTGAGGAAATAGATTAGAAGCAGGACGGGGTCTTTGTAAGCTGACTGAGGCTGGGTGCAACAAGTCTGTCCATGTCTGCAGTATGGGTTGAACAAAGCTGAGCTTACACAAAGCCTGTCTGGTCAATGACTGCACTGCGTTTATACAATCTCTTAGTGTCTGTGGTGAACATGTGGAATAACGCTCCAGAAAGTAACCCACATCATCCTCTAATAACCACACCAGGGACTCTACCTGGTCTGCACTAAATGGTGGCAAAAATTCATCCCTGCATTCGGGGGAACCAGATGAAACCAACTCAGCACAAACCTCAATCAAAGGCTGCACCTCAGAGAACTCTGTGCCCTGATCTACTAGAACATGAGCGAGCCGTATACATTCTAGCAGTTCATCCCGGGGATACTCCTTCAGAGTTTGATAAGCATACTCCCTGTCATCAAACACTAGCAGATATAAATATTCAACCTCATCAAGATCCATCCTTCCCATCAACAAGCCAAGATGGCTTCCCTGTGCAGCCACTTCTGGTCAGGATTGGCCTTGGTGTAATGTCAGGCTCCCAGGTATGACCAGAGGTGTGTGACTGATGCAGGGAAACGCAGACTTCAGATATGTGATAAACAATACAATTTATTAACACTAACCATACAAACATAAACGCAGTGCAATACTAAACATAATACAGTGCAAACAAACCAAACCACCCACAGATAACAGTACATACAAGCAAGCGTCGTCAGGCAGGCCGGGTCAATATCAATTGGGCAGGTAGGTACAGGGGGAGCAAGCAGAGAATGGTCGGGGTCACAGGCCAGGTTCAGCAGGTAGCAAGCAGCGTAGTACAGAGGGTCAGGCAGAGGGATGGTCAGGGTCACAAGCCAGAGATCAAAACAGGTAACAAGCAGCGTAGTACAGAGGGTCAGGCAGAGGGACAGAAACAGGATGCAGGACAGATACAGGGCCCAGGACAAACACAACACCAAGGCAGAGTCTGTGGGTCTGGCCATCCCTTAAATACCCCAGCATCATCAGTTCCAGGTGTTAGCTGGCTGAAAGGTTGAGTCTCTGATTGCTGGGAGCACCCGCTGGCCAGCCCTGGTACTGCAGATCAAAAGGCAGGTGAGTCCCACCATTGCTGGCCAGTCCATTCCTAACAGAAACCCTACAGAATCCCAGAGGCTCGACGGGAGGCAATACGTGGGGAAGTACAGAGAATGCTAGATTTGGGGGTAATAGAGGAGTGGTCCAGCCCCATAGTGTTGGTGCCCAAACCAGATGGGAGCTGGCGATTTTGTAATGACTTTCGACAGTTGAATAAAGTTACAAAATTTGACACCTACTCCATGCCAAGGATAGACGAACTAATCGACCGACTGGGAGCAGCCCGGTACATGACAACGCTAGACTTGGCAAAAGGTTATTGGCAAATTCCCCTAGCTAAGTCAGCAAAGGAGAAGACTGCATTTGTAACCCCAGAAGGGTCATTACAGTATAAAAGAATGCCGTTCGGGTTACAGAATGCACCGGCCACCTTTCAGCGAAAAATGGATCAGATTCTTCGTCCCCATCAGAAGTATGCTGCAGCGTACTTGGACGATGTGAATATCCATAGCGCAGATTGGGCCTCATATTTGCCAAAAGTTCAGGCTGTGCTAGACTCAATACGGAAAGCTGGGTTTACGGCCAACCCAAAGAAGTGTACGATTGGACAGGAGGAGGCCAGGTACCTTGGGTACACTATTGGGAGAGCGGTAATAAAACCTCAGATAAACAAAGTGGAAGCAATACAGAATTGGCCATGCCCAAATAACAAAAAGCAGGTACGGGCTTTTCTAGGAATTGCTGGCTACTATCGGCGATTCATTCCCCATTTTGCTTCTATGGCAGTACCTCTAACCAACCTGACAAAAGGGAAGGAGTCTGTCATGGTTAAGTGGTCCCCTGATGCTGAAGCAGCCTTCCTGTCTTTAAAAAGGGCCTTATGTAGCCAGCCAGTCCTATACTCACCAGACTTCTCAAAAGACTTTGTGGTCCAGACGGATGCATCCAATGTTGGCTTAGGAACAGTGCTGTCCCAGGTTTGGCAGGGGGAGGAGCACCCAGTAATCTATCTCAGCCGAAAGCTAAAGTCTCATGAGGAAAATTACGCCACGATTGAGAAGGAGTGTTTAGCGGTAAAGTGGGCCCTAGATTCCCTTCGGTACTATCTGCTGGGCAGACATTTTGACCTGATCACAGATCATGCTCCCTTGAAATGGATGGCTCAAAATAAGGAGACCAATAAAAGGGTAAATAGGTGGTTTCTGGCCCTACAGGAATTTACCTTCACGGTGAAGCATCACCCTGGAGTTCAGATGGGAAATGTGGATGCTTTATCCCGGGTACATGCCTGCCTGGCTACTGGTGTTACAACCCCAAGGTTGAAACAAGAGGGGGGGGTATGTGACAGTAGGCAGGTGAAATCACCTGGTTGCGTCCTGGATGGACGATATATTTGTCCGAGGTTCAGGCTTTATGGGGATTTGTAACACTAGAGGGAAGTGCTGAGTCCTTCAGCACTGAGGTAATGAGCCCAGCTGAAGGTAGTGGGCTCATTAACACCTGTATAAAACTTCCCAGAGTGCTTAGGGAGTTGCTCCAACCTGGAACCAGATCTGTGCCTGAACTGTCTGGGGAGCTGACCTGTTATCTGTGTGCAGAGAGACCAAAGCCTGTGTGGCTAGCCTCCAAGTACTAGCAACTAGGTATAGCAGCAGGCTGTACCTAGTGGGTAGCTAGGGAAAGCGGTTGTTGCAGTAAGTAGCCAAGTTGGCCAGGATTTATTTTGATGTTTCTTTTTGGTTTACCATTTTTCTGTAAATATTGTAAATAAATTGCACCTGTTTGTTTTCACCTCCACTGTTGTGCTGTGCCTGTCTTTTTGTGTTGTGCACCCATCCAGGGGGTCACACACACCCGCTGCCGAGCAAACCCTGTTACAATATATATATATATATATATATATATATATATATATATATATATATATATATATATAATTAAATTTTTTTTATATTTGTTTGCTTTTTTTCCCACAGGAGTTACCCTTCAAGTTCAGTTGCCATGGCATCTGCCTGACTCCTTTGCTGGCCAAGTCCCTGATTTTGCCAATAGAAATGTAATTATACTTTAGTGGAAATTGTTTCAGATGTTTCAGATACTTGAAAGATACCTGTTCATGTGTTGTTAGGTAGTAATTTGGAGCTTGGCGCTGGTGCAGGAATTGAAGAACACTTCCTATTATCAACAGATATGTAGAATATTGTTTTAACATAAATTGAAATAACTAAATCTAAACAATCAAATCAACATTTTTCTTAATTTCCACCCA